CCCCCTGACCCCTTCCAGCTCGGCCCGCCGCAAAGAGAGCTCCACGCCAGAGGGTCAGTACAGAACAGAGTCTGCTTCACACATACTGTTATTGTGGCTGTGATGTGATTGGTCAGGCGTTTCTGATAATACTGATGGAGCAGAAAAATCTGCAGCTGGTTTCCTGGTTATATCAGACTGGAGTGCAGTTATTATTTATATAAAAAATATTGCAAGCATAACAGAATCCAGGTTATATTTCACCCCTAAGTTAAAATACATACAAGAAACCTATTTTTAGGACCTATTTTTTGACATTTTTATGAATATTAAACACATTTACTCTAAAATTGTCATTAGTGCTCTTCAGAAATGGTAATTGTGTCTGTGTGTGTTAAGATGACTGATGATTAAGTTTCTGCTCTCAGGAGTTTGTGCTTGTCCATCTTTCTTTTATTCTCAAGCACGGACCTGCATGCGATCGCTGATGAGGTTTTGTTTTGCTCAGATCGAGGCGGACTCACGCACGGTTTTGTTGTGTTGTGGCCGATGAGGCTGTTGCTCTGCTGCTGGATGGTGATGAGTTTTATTTTAGGCTGATCGGTTTGACATCATTCACACTGAGATGCTCTATTGGACATTAATAACCCACACTAACTCTCTGTCTCTGTCTGTCTGTAGAGTACGGGCGGTCCTATCCTAACAAACCATACATCAATGGAAAGATTATTAATTCAGCTTTCAGATGATGTATACATCTCAATTTTGAAAAATTGACACTTAAGACTGGATTTGTGGTCCAGGGTCACAAATGAGCTTGAATGTCCACAAATGGAGGTTTTAGCTCACTTCTGAGAAGAATTTGTACCAATAATATGGTTACATACACTACCATTCAAAAGTCTCTTCTGCTCACTAAGGCTGCATTTATTTGATCAAAAATACAGTACAAATTGTGAAATATTACAATTTAAAACAGCTGTTTTCTATGTGAATCTCTGTTAAACTGTAATTTATCCATAAACATGTAATTTATTTCTGTGATCCGCAGCTGAATTTTCAGCATCATTACTCCAGTCTTCAGTGTCACATGATCTTCAGAAATCATTCTAATATGCTGATTTGCTGCTCGAGAAACATTTCTGATTATTATCAATGTTGAAAACAGTCGTGCTGCACAATATTTCTGTGGAAACCGTGATACATTTTATTTTTCAGGATTCACAGATGAATATAAAGTTGAAAAGAACAGCATTTATTTTAAATAAATCTTTTGCAACATTATAAATGTCTTTACTGTGACTTTTGATCAATTGAATCCATCTGCGATGAATAAGAGTATTAATTTCTTCAAAAAAGCTTACTACAATTTTTTGAATGGTGTTGTAGGGACACACTCATTTAATAGGGGCCTCTTCACATAGAACTAATTTCTGCGATGCTTTTCCATTGTTTGTCCAAGTAAACATGCACCGTTTGTGTCTTTTGCACCTAAAATTGCATCTAAAAATGCAATGCTCAAGAAGACCGTGAGTTTCTTTTTTTTCTTTTATTTCACTTCCCACAAAAGTGTTCTGTGTGGCCCATAAATGAAAAAATGACTAGTAGAGAATGTGTTCATTTTGTCTTCTCTTGTCTCTTCTCTCTCGATCTTCCCTGTGTACTCTTTATCTTCTCTTCTCTCGGTCAGAGTGTCGTACTCTCTGCCACCCCAAGTGTTCCCCGTGTTTGCCGGCGACCTGCGGTCTTCCTGCTGAATACGCCACTCACTTCTCTGAGGCTCTGTGTCGGGATAAAGCCAGCTCCCCTGTGCTGCAGGTCAAAGAGGCCTCGGGTCACATGCGTCTGGAGGGCTGGATGAAGCAGCCCAGGTGCGCTTATGAGCAGACTGCTGTTTGGAATATGTTCCGGGTCAGTTTGACCCAAATCAGTGTTTGAGTCGTCAGAAACTGGTTCATCTGTAACTGATAGACCAATTTCAGTGTTTGTGGGCGGAGCCTATCTGGTGGCAGAAAATGACAGTTTTAACGTAGCAGTCTATTCAAACCATGGAATAAAAAAAGAAAATAATAAAAAATGTAATTCTGAGTTTATATTTCAAAATTCTGACTTTTTTCTTGCAATTCCGAGATTATATCTCACAATTCTGGTATGAAAAATGAACTCGTCATTCTTTCTTTTTAGTTTATAATCCCACACTTCTGGCTTTTTTTCCCTCAGAATTGACAAACTCGCAATTGTTGAGTTGAATGAAGTTATAAAGTCCGAACTAGGAGATGTAAACTTGCATTTGCAAGAAAAAAGTCAGAATTGTAAGATAATATAGGTAAATGTTATGTAAAATGTTATAGGTTTAAATAGTATTTCATGCATGTATTTCAACTGTAGGGCTAATACAATATGTCCCCTATATGAATATTATATTGTTTAAATCAAATTTGTGCTTTAAAAGTAGGGTAATCAATCATAGCAGGTTTCATCCATAGTCTGTCCATTTAAACGTCTGCATTTAGCTTCAAAAGGCGTCTTTGACGACAGTATTATATAAAAATTATTTGCATTCTGATTCTGACATCCAAAGGCACAACAATAAATTTTTTTCTCTTATTCCATGGATTTGACCCGTTTCTCTCCACTTGTTCCCAGCGTTTTTATGCCATTCTAATGTGTTGTGGAATGTGCATACGAAAACAATATTTAATTGAAATAAAATAAACAACTGAAATAAAATATAATTAAAAACTATTTCAGGTAGTTTCAACACTTTTTCGTTTTTACGTTGAAGTACTAAAATAAAATAACTAAAACTATATAGTCGTACTTAAAAACAAACTAGTAAAAATGACAAACACACAAAAAATTACTAAAACTTTAACTAAATAAAAATAAATACTAATCAGAATATTAACTATAATAGTATGTCAGTGATACTAAAATAACTGGGTTAAAAGCAGCTGCACAGAACCAAAAAATATATGTTGGCGTATTTTATGTCAGTTTATACAGACTACATGTAATTACAGATACTTTTATCTTTTATTTATCATGTTAATTTAGCTGGGAATCGAACCCTAATCTTGCTGTTGCGAGCGTCATGTTTCTACAGTTTGAGCTTCAGGAAAGCACACAGAATAAAGTGCTTTTCCACACTTCTGTAGAAAGTTATTGGAAGATTAATACAGTTTTAAAAATCATAATGTGTGAGAATTATTCATGTTAAAGCTTTACTGCTGTCACCTGATGAATCCAGCCGAGTTCAATTTGAGCTGCGCCAAAACAATTGTATTTTTAACATTTATACAATGCCACTGATTGGCTGTTTTCGATGTGTTTTTGTAGGAACGGTAAGAGAGGGCAGCAGGGCTGGGAGAGGAAGTATGTGGTGCTGGATGGGACGAAGTTATCGATCTACGAGTCCGAGCCGACCGAAGGTAGACGATCACTCCGTCAGATCTCTCCACGAGATGCAGCTGGGTGTGTTTTCTGAACTCTGTGTGCGTTTCAGACTCGGTGAAGCCGCTGGAGGAGTTTGAGCTGTGTTTGCTGGACGGTGAGGTGACGGTGCACGGAGCCGTCGGAGCCTCGGAGCTCATCAACACGGCCAAATCAGGTCAGAACATGACTGTGCTCCAGGAAAAATTAAATCATTTTACACATGCATGTGGTTAGCAACATCCTGAGCTTTAGTTTCGCTTCTGATAGTCCCAAACATTGTATTTTAGTGTGTACTGTGGATTATAGTCGATGTGGTGTTTTAGTTTTCATGAATATTTTGATTTATTTTTTTATATATATATTTTTAATGTTTAATTTTTGTTAGTTATTAGTAATTTTGTTGCATGTTTTTGTCATTTATTGAGTTTTGATAATTTTTTTGTTATTTTAAGACGAAGTTAAACTAGTTTTTATTAATATTTTGAATGAGTTTTTATTTTTATATTTTCTCTTTTCATTTCGATTTTAGTTGAAATTTTAGTAGTTTTGTTGTGTTTTTTTTTGTTAGTTATTAGTAATTTTGTTGCATGTTTTTGTCATTTTTATTGAGTTCTTATTAATTTTTTATTTCAGTTTTAGTTATTTTAAGACATGAAGTTAAACTAGTTTTTATTAACATTTTGAATTAATTTAAATTTTTATATTTTCTCTTTTCATTTCGATTTTAGTTGAAGTTTTAGTAATTTTGTTGTGTGTGTGTTTTTTTTATTTTTTTAATTTGTGTATTCAGTTTTTATTAACTAAATAATATGAGAAATATTGCTTTGGCAGCTAAGTAAATAACGAAGTTTTAGTAATTTTGTTGTGTGTGTGTTTTTTTTATTTTTTTTATTTGTGTATTCAGTTTTTATTAACTAAATAATATGAGAAATATTGCTTTGGCAGCTAAGTAAATAACATAAGTTTAGGGGTTTGTTATTTTATTGTATTTCAGTTATTTTATTTTAAGCACTGAATGCTTTTTATGGTTTTAGTTAAATATGATAACCCTGATTCACACTTTTCTGCTCAATCAGTTAATGTTTTTTAAATCATATTTACTATATTTAAATACATTTAGCATATTTCTGCCCACAATCGGCAAAAACAATTGTCAAAAGTGTCATTAGCTTTGTTTAAAGGAATACTAAGTAACTTCATATTTAATTGTTTTGCTGCCTCTTATTTGTCTTCCTGATGTGATTATAGAAATACACCATTGACACGTGTATTTGTTTACACGGTTAATTCATTCTGCTTTTTAAAGTGTCTGATAATAGATGGGTTTATTGAGATAAACGTGTCTGTGTGTGTGTGTGTGTGTGTCTGTGTCTCTGTATGTGTGTGCGTGTGTGTGTGTGTGTGTGTGTCTCTGTGTGTGTGTTGTGTGCGTGTGCGTGTGTGTGTGTGTGTGTGTGTGTGTGCGTGTGTCTGTGTGTGTGTGTGTGTCTGTTTGTGTCTGTCTGTGTGCGTGTGCGTGTGTGTGTATCTGTGTGTGTATCTCTGTGTGTCTGTGTGTGTGTGTGTGTGTGTCAGATATCCCGTACGTGCTGAAGCTGGAGTCTCATCCTCACACCACGTGTTGGCCGGGTCAGTCTCTGTACTTCATGGCTCCTAGTTTCCCAGATAAGCAGCGCTGGGTGGCTGTTCTGGAGTCAGTGGTGGCCGGCTGCCGAGGATCCCGAGAGAAAAGCGAGGCGGACGCGGTGAGTGAACGTTTCCTTCAGTCCCTCTGCGTTCATGAATCCTTCAGAATAATAATCACACCTGTGTCGGCTTCAGTCAGACTCTTTATGACCTCATGAGACTTTAAAACCAGCGGGCTTTAGTTTACTGTATGTCACTGCAGTATTCATATGATGCTAAGATATTAATATAGTATCTATTAATGTTGTCTAATTAGCTTTTAGTTTTCATTTAATTTTAGCTACAGATTTAGTAATTTTAGGTGCTTTTGTCATTTGTATTATTTAAGTATTTCTTTTTATATTTAATGTAATTTTATTTATTTTTCAGTTTGTCATTTTAGAACTTCAATTTCAACTTATTTCAATTCAAGCTTTTAGGTGGAATTCATGTAATATTTATATTTAATTTTATTTCAGCTTTATTTTAATTAACAAAAATGCCCTTGTGAAGAAAATGATGTAAGCAGAATTATTTTAGTATATTATTTATACACTATTCTACTATTTATTATTTTAAATGAGCTTTTATTTAATTTTTTTTTGTTTTCATTTTAAAGTTGTTTTGTGCTTTTGTCATTTTTTAGTATTTTTGTTTTTTTAATTCTTTTATTTTATTGCTTTTATCATTATTTTATTTTAATTCATTTTTATTTTAGTACTTCAACTTAAACTTATTTTATTTCAATTAGTTAGCAAGTTTTTAATCAAATATTAATATTTGATTTCATCTTTATTTCGGTTAACAAAAATGATTTTTAATAGTTTTAATTGACAAGAACAACACTGGGCTCTGTCTTCCTGAACGTTTTTAATATCGGTCTTAAAGAGTATTTTGTCCAATTTTAAGAGTTCACTAGCATATTCCCCTGTTTTTTGTTCATCTGTAATATTTATAAGCATCAGCGGGCAGATTAATGACGGTGAATATACGAAACCAAGACAATACGATCAGATCAGGTCCCAGAAGACATTGGCAGAGACTCAGTGTGTGATGATTGTCTAACACTGTGAGTGTGATTGTGTTCTGAATGCTGTAGGCCGGTGTTAAACGTCAGAAGACTCTCTCGCCGCTGGTTCAGGTAATCAGATGATTGAGGGAAGCTCATCACACACACTCGCTCTCATGTGTGTGTGTGTGTTACCCAGCATGCTCCTCTGTCTGGTGCCCGTGTCGCTTGCATCATCAGACCGTTCCTCTGAATCATCCGCAGACTCCAGTGTTTCCTGCAGCTCAATCTAGAAAAGCAGAAATTCTTGAAAATAATACAAACGCAATGAATAGACAATTAAGACGTCTTTACATTGGGACATTCTCACATGCAGCATGAAGAGTGTAGTCTGATTCACAAACAAATGACTCTTATGAATCGGTTCATTTGAAATGAATCACTCAGGCTTCGTTCACACAGCAAGCTGAAGTGCTCCTTCGTTGTTTTTTTGTTTTGTTTTGTTAATTTGAGGCATGATATACATCAATATGTATGACATGAATTCAGAATTTATGTGCGTTTTTCATGTTTGACTCAAACTGTAGGAAACACTGGCCGATCCTGAACGCAAACGTCTCGCTCGAGCAGCTACTACATCTGTCTGGAACACGTGTGCTTGGCTTCAGCTCCTTTACCCAGTGAACTGTGTGACTTGTGTTTTAATCGTTCATCTCTGTCTTTTATTGTCTGAACAGAAGCTGCTGGGAAACTCTTTGCTGAAGCTGGAGGGAGACGATCGGCTGGATATTAACTGTACTTTACCATTAACTGACCAGGTACAGCACAGTAACACTAAAAAAAATAAAGTAACGCACAGTGTTAGTAACACAAAAAATAATAATAAACCCACAGCTTATACGTTATTCAAAATTGCTCAAAAATAAAAATAGCAAAAATAAATCCACCATCTACACATTATTCAGCATGGTTGAAAAATGTATAAAAAGAAACCCACCAACTACACATTATTCCACACTGTTACTAATAATGAAAACTAATAGTAAAAACTACTAAAAAACATTTATAAAAATCACCTATACAGCATTTATTTAAAATAAAAATCTTGTGTATCAATATATATTCTACCGTTAAAAAAAACAGTTCAAATTAGTTTTATTTTTTTTAAGATATTAATATTTTTATTCAGCAAGGATGTGTTCAGACTTGCATTGTTAGAAAATATTTCTATTTTAAATAAATGCTGTCGAGTTTTTTTTTTTATTATTATTATTTATCAAAGAATCCTGAAAATAGTGTCACAATTTCCGGAAAAATATTAAGCAGCACAACAGTTTCCAGCACTGATAATAAATCAGCATATTAGAATGATTTCTGAAGATCATGTGACACTGAAGACTGGAGTAATGATGCTGAAAATACAGCTGCGCATCACAGAAATAAATTATATATTAAAGTATGTTAAAATAGAAAAATGTTATTTTAAATTGTAATATTTCATAATATTTTTTTTGTTGTTGATCAAATAGATGTAGCCTTAATGAGCAGAAGAGATTTCTTTAAAGGGGTCATATGATGCTTTTGTGTGTGTCTGTGTGTGTGTGTGAGAGTGTCTGTGTCTGTCTGTGTGTGTGTGTGTGTGTGTGTGTGTAGTTTTTCCTTAAAAAAAAAAAAAGGTAAGTTTGTTGGTTAAAGGAGTGGGAATGAAGTTTGTTTTCAAATGCAGCGCTCATGTAAAATGCAGTAGACAGTGATTTAAAAACAGAGACAGTAATGTTTCCTGTGTGAACAAGCTCAAGTCAAGACAAATTTTATTTCTATAGCACTTTATACAATAGATTGTTTCACAGTAATAAACAGAAATAACAGTGTTACTGTTAATGTTGCAAGGTTTATCAGTGATGAAACAAATTCCATTTCAGTTGTAAAGCAGCTCTACAGAAGACAATAGTGTGATAATTCAGATCAGGTCAGTGATCGTGTGTGTGTGTGTGTGTGTGTTTCAGATCGTGCTGGTGGGCTCAGAGGAGGGTCTGTACGCTCTGAATGTCATCAAGAACTCCCTCACACACATCCCGGGACTCGACTCTGTTTTCCAGATCCAGGTCCTGAAGGAGCTCGACAAGCTGCTCATGATCACCGGTCAGTGTCCGTCTCTCTGCTTCACATGTGTGTGCTCTTACTGACAGAATAATGAGACGTTAAAGGTGAACAATAATCACAGACAGTGGTTTACTAGCAGAATACTAGGGCTGTCACAATAAATCGATGCATCGTGATTCGTGGATCGATTCAAAAATAATTGCATGGATTTATTTCGGCATCAGAGCAGCTCTTCCGGTTTAGATGGCTTGAGTGTGGTTAGTTGACTGTGTGTGTGTGTGTGTGTGACAGGTGAGGAGCGCGCTCTGTGTCTGGTGGACATCAAACGGGTCAAACAGTCTCTGGCTCAGTCTCATCTGCCGGCGCAGCCCGATCTCAGTCCCTACATCTTCGAGGCGGTGAAGGGCTGCCATCTCTTCGCTTCCGGAAAGGTAGAGACCCCCCATCAACCCACACAGTATATGATGCTCTTCCTGTTACCAAGTCTAATAGAGGTCCTGTATTTGATCTCTAGTTATAAGTGTATTGAATCTCCTGATTTACACAGAAATACATCTCATTATTCAAGTAAAATTGGTTTTGAGCAGTGTTTCACATTGACTTGTATTGAACCTGGAGGTTTCCTTTGTAGGATCTGTGGATGTAGGCGAGATACAGTATGTAGGATTTTGGACCAATGAGATTTCACTGTGGGTGGAGCTACTGTACCAGCATAAAATGATTGACATACTGTGTTGACAACCCAGTGATTGATTAAAAGTCCTGGTTAGAACCAGTGTTATTTTAGTATTATTTACATAAACTATTACAGCTTTTTTTTAAATAATATTTTGAAATAGCTTTTATTTTTATATTTCCAGTTTTCATTTTTAAATTTAAATTTCAGTACAATATAATTACGTCAGTAACTTTAGTACTTCAACTTATTTTATTTCAATTAGTTGCCAACATTTCTAATTTTCGTTAGGTTTTATTTCAAAATATTTTATTTCAACTTGGTTTCATTTGACAAAAATACCCCGTTAACATAATGTTGTTAAGTGTTATATTATATATCATTTCTGTACTAGTGTATTAATATTTGGAATTGGCTTTTATTTTTTTAATTTAAAGGTTTAATTTATTTTTATTTTAGTTTTAGTTCAACTTCAACTTTTTTTCTCAGTTAGCTGCCAAGGCAAAATTTCGATTTTCATTTAGTTGAAGTTTTTTATTTTGTAACATTTTAGTACAATTTAATCTACCTATTTTATTTCATTTAGTTACCAAGGCAACATTTCTATTTTCATTTACGTTTTTAAGTGCAAGTTGTTCATCTAATATCTGTATTAATTTTAGTACAATTATGTAAAAATTTTAGAACAATTTAACATTAGTTTTTTTTACTATTTAGGTTTCATTTTATTTCAGTTTTAGTTTAATTTAAACTTACTTCATTAAGCAAGTTAACATTTCTCATTTTTGTTTTTTCATCTAATATTTACATTTTATTTCAGCCTTATTATATTGAACAAATATGTTTTAATAGTTTTAGTTGTTGATGATAATGAGATCACGTGTATGTCTGTTTATCAGAGTTTACTGAAGATTTTACTGAAGTGTGTGTTTTTTCAGATCGACACATGCATGTGTATCTGTGCTGCGATGCCCAATAAAATCACCATCCTGCGCTTCAACGACACGCTCAACAAGTTCTGCATCAGAAAGGTGACATATAAGACCCTCCTCATGCACGTCACACACGCGTTCATTCCTCCCTTCACGTGTGTGTGTCCGCTGCTCTTCCGCAGGAGATCGAGACGTCTGAACCCTGCAGCTGCATCCACTTCACTGGATACAGCATCATCATCGGCACCAACAAGTTCTACGAGATCGAGATGAAGCAGTACGTGCTGGAAGGTGAGATGATACACACACACACACACACACACACACTGAAACACACACACACACACACACTGAAACACACACACACTCATACACACACACAAACACACTGAAACACACACTCACACTGAAACTCACACTCACACACACTGAAACACACTCATACACACACACTCTCACACACACACACTGAAACACACACACACTGAAACACACACACACTCATACACACACGCCTCGTCCCACAGCTTCCCCATCTCCATCATCCAGGTGTCCAGCGCGCCGCAGAAAGTCGAGTACCTGCTCTGCTTCCACGGTGCGTGTGTGAACCGTACGAGACGCTGAAGGTGTGTGTGTGATGTCGTGTTTCACTGGTGTGTGTGTGTGTGTGTGTTGTTTGCAGAGTTCGGTGTGTTTGTGGATGCATACGGCCGCAGGAGTCGCAGTGATGACATCAAATGGAGCCGCCTGCCTCTGTCCTTCGGTAAAACCTAGTTTTGTTCATCAGTGTAAAGTCTAGAGAGCTGACGATGGTTTATTTGATAGTTTAGAGCTGTGCACGGAAAAGCAAATCACAGAGAAAAAAACAAGACACATTCCAGTCATTCACATGATTTAACGCAAACAACGATCCTTATCGTGATGCATATTATGGCTGCTCGATTATGGCAAAAATCCAAATCATTATTTTTAATCACAATCATTTGATGTAATTACTCATCCATTTATTTAACTTCAGAAAAAATTATTGTCTTTAACAGTGGATTTCCTAGAACTATAAGTAATTCCACTGAAAAACAACAATGATACATTAACAAATATAAATGTATGAATAATATATTTTTGTAATATATATTTTAAATTATAAATTATTATTATATATAATCGTTTATTTAAATGTTAGTGTATAAATTATGTATAATATTGAAATATTTATATATTATAGTACATATATATTAAATTATAATAATTCAGCTGAAAAATAAAATGAAATTAATACCTTTATTTAGTATGTAGTATATATATATTATATATTTTTTATTAAATATATAATATTGTAATTTGTATTATATATTTTTTTTACATATTTAAATTATTTATACTTATAATATTTTAAAATATTTATGTAATATATGTAATTTATAGTATATAATTTGTCTTGATTATCTCATTTTCATAATTGTTGGAAGCAAGATAATTAAAAATAAAATTAAGATTAATTGCCAATCTGACAAAAACAAGCATAATCTCAAAAAAAAAAAAAACTTTTGATGTCAAGATTTTCATGTATTTTTTATGTATTATTTACTGTATTAATTCATGTTTCTGGTCTTATTGTGAATGACGCATCAGTGCATATTATGCTAAAGAACTAAAAATGTTGTTGTAATCTAAAATGGAAGCATAATGTTAATGTAATATCTATTTAGGCATCATTTTAGCAGTCTCACATCAGCTCCTGATCAATAAAATCTTATCCCGTCTGTTTTCTCCACAGCGTACCGAGAGCCGTACCTGTTTGTGACCTACTTCAACTCTCTGGACGTCATCGAGGTTCAGAGTCACTCTGCGCTCGGGTAAAACCGCTGCCCCGTCTGGATTGGTTTTGTTCCTGATGTTTGTTAGAGACGCTCTGAGTGGTGTGTGTGTGTGTGTGTTCAGGCCTCACGCTTACGCTCACCTGGACATTCCTAACCCGCGTTACCTGGGTCCGGCCATCTCGTCCGGCGCCGTGTATCTGGCCTCGTCCTTCCAGAACAAGCTGCGTGTGATCTGCTGCAAAGGAAACCTGAGTCAGGAGGCATCGACTGCAGAGCCGCAGAGAAACGGCTCCACGCGCAGGTCAGTGTCACGTTTCTCTGGAAGAAGCTTCCGTAGGGGCTGATTAATCTTTTCTAGGTCGGGGGAATGATTTTTCCATAGGCACAGCTAGGGCTGGGAGATATGGCGAAAAATTTAAATCTAGATTTTTTCAGAATGTTTGACCGATTCTCGATGTTTTTAAAAAAAAAAAAAATTTTTAACTACAGCTTGATTCAAGTAACTTTTTCTTTATTAGCTCTCTGTTTAACGAAAATTCTATTCCAAGTGCACCACACACAAAATTTTAATAAATATTGAAATACATATTTTTTTGTGAAAAACAACAAAAAAAAATTAAGGGGGGGGGGGGCTAAAGTACAATTTTTTTTGTTGTTGTTTTTTTACTACATTTTTTTTGCATTTTAATTCTAAATATATTAAATTTTATATATATTATAAGGAGTAGAAGTCCTTCAATATAATTAAATGAATATATTTTAAAATTAGAATATTTTATAATATATCTTAGCGTATTAAATCAATAAACCACAATCAATTTTGTGATTCCAGAAGTTTTCAAGAACTATATTTTCTTAAATAAAAACAAAAGCTGTTGATGGGGAAAAAATTTAATTAGAAATATTAGTTTTTTATAGCATTTTAATTTACTTAAGATTATTTTAATATACAGTACAATTAAACTAAATTTATTAAGGATGTCACGAATAAAGTGAAAATTAAATGAAAAGTCTATTGCGGCATCAAATTTAGATCTGCTAATGATGCATCAAAGCATGCGTTTTTACAGCGTTCCGCATTGTATCCAATCACACACGATTCTGTTGAGCTTATGAATGCGATGGCCAATCAGAGGCGTTCAGATGAGTCATCAACTCTCGCGAATTCTATCATAAACAACAAAGTGGAAATGTATGTGCGATGTAAGTAAGAGATTAATTTGACATTGTTGGCAGCTTCATTGATTATAACGGGGGAGTTTTTTGAGCGTGCTTAAACTCACTCGTCATGTTCTTTGATAATGTAAATGTTCTTTGCTTGCTTTTTGTGTATAGTTTGTGCTGTTTGAATAACCGTAGAAATGAAAGCGGTATAATTAGTAACTTATAATGTTTTTATTAAATGATGATCACGTTATATACAAATTCAGTCGTATTAAAAATATTTTGTGACGGCACCCATATCTGGTACTTATGGAAAGCCTTTTTCTGCCTCTCTAAATATTGTGAGATAAATTAAGATGCAATTACTTTGTTTTATTTTTTTTCATTGGGTACCATATGTGCTTGCCTGAAAGATGGGGTTATGATGTGTGTGTTAATAGATTACACTAACATTAGGCATAACATTACACTAACTTATATAAAGAGCTCCAGGTTTGCTGTGCTTGTTTGTAGGGCTGCACAATTTGTCCAAAAAAAAAATCATTTTGTGATTATATTATATGAGTAACATTTTACAGTAAGGTTTCAATTGTTAACCTTAGTTAACCACATGAGCTAACAATCAACAATACTTCTGCAGCATTCATTATTCTTAATGTTAATGTTAACATTTACTGAAGCATATTTAAAATCAAAATTTGTATATTTTTATTATAGTTAATGCACTGCGAACTAACATGAACAGTGAACAATTGTATTTTTATTAATGAAAATTTTTTTTTTTTAAGTTCTGTTAAATATATTGTTAACAAATGAGACCATATTGTTGTGTTATTAATATATGACTAAAATAATTGTTACTATTATTTTGATTATTATTATTAAATAAAAAGTATTAAAATAAGAAATATGTTGTAATTAAAAACTATTAAAATAAGTTTTTATAATCTTTTATTTAATAAAATAATTTTATTTTATAGTAAAAATCTGTAAAAGTACAACAGTAATATTTATTTCTTAATTTGTTTGCTTTAAAATCGCTTTTTTGCGGAAAACTGCTGTGAGATCTTAGAGCTTCTGTTTTGTTGATTTATAAACTATTCTTATTACAAATTTGGAAGTTGGTTGGCACATGTTGCTCTTTCGAAATGTATAAGCGACTTAAATATACAAAGATGAGTTCATATAGGCGCAGCGTTTACTGCAAACACTGGCGGATCACGAGCTGCTCGTGTGTACATGAACACAGTGCTGCGCTTCACTCTCAAACACACAGCACGCAGATTTATTTCATTAAATTGTGTCGATGTCAAATCAGGTTTGACGTTAATAACGATCGAAACATTTAAAGTCATTGGCATCAAACCTGCTGCACCTGCAATATCAGAGTGAGATTTGAGGTGAATAATGATTTAAATGCAGCTCTATCTGACTGTGAACAACCCCATGTGACCTGAAATCTGTCTGTGATTGGTCCAGAGTTTCTGACTGTGTTTTTCTACTTTACAGGAAGAAAAGTGCTTTCTTTATTTGTGCGAGGGAGTGACAGATCATGAGCGTTTAAGTGATGAATAAAGTGTTTTAAAGGAGAATATCCTGAACCCCGCTCAGTGTGAGACTAGATTTAATGTGGCGCACTGAAAACGTTCTTCCTCAGCTCTCATTATATCATTATATTTAGGTGTTTTCAGAAGCTCTTGTTCATAATGTGACTGTTGCTCTCCTTTTATAATGTTATTTAAAAGCATAAATGTCTTGAAAGTAGACACGTGCTGGTATTCGGTTAATGCGATATATCACGGTAATGAATATGCACGATATTGTTATCGTGGGCACTTCGAAATACCGTGAATAATTATTTATTACAAATTATTCAGATTTTTTTTTATGCATTTTAAGAATATTTTTCCTATCAACTGGTCACGATGCACAACACTGACCCGATGTTTTGATTCTTTATTGTTCGGTCACACTTTACATTAATGCTCTATTAATTAACATTAGTTAATTCATTAGTAAACATAAACTGCCAATGAAAAATTCTTCTAAACATTCATTAATCTTAGGTAATTTCAATATTTAATAAGACGTTGTTAAAATCAAAAGTTGCAACTGTGTTATTTAATGAACTAACAGTTGTATTTTTCAACAAAGATTAATAACTTCTGTAACAAAAATGGAGCTATTGCTCATTATTAATGTTAATGCATTAATTAAGGTTAACTAATGAGATCTTATTGTGAAGTGTTACTTATTGGTCTTTATAATTCTTTTGCACTGTAATCAGTGTGACATTTTTTACTTTATACTTTTTTGTGTATTACTTTATTGTATGTAAATGTTCGGTTCTTTTTGTTTTAAGAAAACCTGTTATACTTCATGACAACACTTTTTTGCAACTAAATTTCAATACCGTGATAATACCGTAATAAAAGCATTAGCAATTAATCGCAACATGAAAATTTGATACCGTCATATGCCTAGTTGAAAATGTGTTATTGTGGATATGACGGATGAGGAGACGTGTTTCTCACCATTCGAGGGTAAGTTGCGCACATGAGTCTGAATCTTCACTGGTCTGATGGGCTTGTGGTTTATTATTCATAACTGTACAAATATATTTAATCTCCTGTCACTGGTGAACGTCTGTCAGGTGATTGTGAACTCTCTGCTGCGTGTGTAAACCATTCAGAATTTGGGATTGTTTTTGAAAGAAGTCTCTTCTGCTCACCAAGGCTGCATTTATTTGATCAAAAATACAGTAAAACGTGAAATATTATTACAATTTAAAATATTTGTTTTCTATGTGAATATCTGTTAAACTGTAATTTATTTCTGTGATGCGCAGCTGTATTTCCAGCATCATTACTCCAGTCTTCAGTGTCACATGATC